AAAACCTTGCCATGCAAACCCATTACACCTACTCTCATTAACTGGCAATAAATTAAATTAATTTCCCCAAGTAGAGGGGTTTTTTTTGCCTGAGGCAGTAATTGGTAAGTGATCTCCCTGCCTTCATCCCAACCCACTAGCTTTTCATCATACTACTTCTCCTCCCATCCCGTTGAAGAGGTAGTGACAGAGCAGCTTCGTTGTCATCTGGCGGCTAGTCAAGCTCAACCCTCCACAGATATATAATCTCTAAACATTCAGCATCATCTCAATACCCATTGCAAGATGTCTAAATTGAAGAAACACTTGCCACTCAAGAAACTCTAAACTCAGCACAACATGTCCTCACAACAAACTCTTTTCCCAAATTGAATTTGTCCTAGTTCATTCTGTCAAGATGCTTTCACTGAATCTTCTAGATTTTAAGAGAACTTACTTGCGATTTGTTTCTTTCCTTTCAATTAAACAGGTTCCTTCCAGAGACACACCTGCAAACAGCCCTCGAGATTTGCAGTATGTATAGACAGCAGCAGAGCTTCTCAGGGCAACATCCCCTTCCAAGTTTCTAGAAGGAAAAAAGTTTTAGTTGATATTCTTCAGTATGGCTTTACAACATGAACAACGATTGTCTTCTTATTTTAATCCTACCAAAAGGCAGCAAGAGTTTCACTTGCCCATGTTCTTACAAACTCTGTTGAATATATTCAAGCAGGTCAGACTTGAAATCCAGTTCTTATTTCAGACAGGACCCAGGACAAAGTAATTAAGTTGTTTGATAAGGTTTTCTCTGAAGCACAGAACAATGTTGCCTCATGTGAACGCTCCACATCAGACCTCCTCTTGCATTCATAAGTCTGAAAGTGATTAACCCATGCTTTAAAATGATCTGATTATGTTTGTGGTGACTTGGATCTCTATTCAATCTACCCAAATCCTCCTTGATTTTATGGTGCACAAAATATTTCAAGTAAGTCCTTATCAGACCTCAATAGAATTGGAAGATTGCAATTTTTGTCCTACACAGGATCACATAATACTGTAGGTTTGAAGATACTTCTGGCACTCAGCCAGTCCAGCCTCCTGCTTAAAATGGATGCCACATCAAATTGAGATCAGGTTGCTCTGGGCTTTGTCCAGACAGTTTTTGAAGACTTCCAAGGACACAGATTCTACAGACACTCTGAGCAACCTGTGGCAGTGCTCAATTATACTCATGTTGAAATTTTTTTTCTCATATACATTCAGAACCTTCCTTGATTCAATTTATGACTACCATCTCTCACTGTCTTGCCATGAACCTCAGTAAAGAATTGGGGACTGTATTCTTGGTGATGTTCTGTTGGGAATGCAGCCTCTTAGAAGACCTCATGGTCTTCTCCCCTCCAGGTAAAATAAGCCAAGCACCCCCAGCCTCATCGTTCACATGTACCATGTCCCTGGCCATCTTGGTAGCTGTTCACTGCATGCACTCAAGTTTATAAACATCTTTCTTGTACTGCAGGGACAAAACTGGACACAATATTCTATGCACAGTTCATGAATTCCCAAGTAAAGGGGAACAATCACTTCCCTTATATATTCATTACAGCTCTGTTGATGCAGCCCCCTACACTGTTTGCTGCCTTTTCTGTCAGGGTGCCCTGCTGGCTCAGCTTACCAGGACTCCAGCACCTTCTCAATAGGGCAGCTACGCAGCCTGGCAGGCTCTGCCTACATAACTGCAGGGGGTTCATCCAACCAAGGGTGCAGAACTCAGCTTTTGTCCTTGTTTAATTTAATGAGGTTTCCTGTTAGATCTTTCCTCTATGCTCTCTTGGACCATTGTTCTGAATGGCAGCCCTACCTTGAAGGGTATTGGCTGTATCCCCTTGATTTGGTGTCATCCACAAACTTGAAGAGCATATTTTGCATCTGCTCTCCCAGGTCACTGATAAAAACATCAAGCAGGAGAGGTCCCAGAACAGTCTCCTGGAGAAATCCATAGATATCTGGCTTCTGAGTACAACGTGAATCATTTACCACTATTCTTCAAGCCTGATGATCTGGTTTTTCACCTATTTGCTAGTCTGCCCTGCCCTGACACCCAGGCCACAATGTCCCAGCTTGGACACAAAGATGTTGCAGGACAGGATACCAAATGATTTTGCAAGGCAGATGACATTGACTGCTCTCCCCATATCCACAGTTCTCTCATCTGTGGAACGGGTATATTTTGTTTTGTCAGAAAAGATGAAAAATCATCAGTAAACCCCTCATCTTAAAAAAGAAAAAAAGGCATAAGGGGGCACATGTACCATAAGCAGAGTCTGAGGCAACTGCACTTTGTAAGCCTGGAGAAGAGAAGACTTAGGGAGAATCTAGCGGCAGCCTTCAAGTAACTATGAAGAGGCAATCAAGAATACAAAGCCAGGCTCTTTATAGCAGTGTATGATGGAAGGATAAAAAGTAATGGACATAAATTGAAAAAACAAAAGTTTTGACTGGATATAACGTAAAACTTTTCACCATGAGGATCGTGGAACAGTAAAGCAGGCTAGCCCGAGAGCCTAAGCAGTCTCATCTTTGGAGGTTTTCAAGACCCAACTGGAATAAAGGCCTAACCAACATGATCTGAATTCACAACAGACTTTGATTTGAGCAGGAGGTTGGAGTAGAGAACTCATAAGGTCCCTTCCAAGTTAAACTATTCTGTGACTACAATATCTCATCCTTCAAAGTAAGCTGGCTGAACCACTTCAGGTTTAAAAGTAATTATTTGGTGTATTTTTTATTTACTGTTAGGCAGATCTGTGGTGATAGAAAACACAGACTCATAGTTTAACGAAAATAATCGTTCAGTCAGACACAGTAGCACCTGTGCTCTTTGTTGAGCCTACCCAAGTAGTCTCCTGCAAAAAGAGAATAAATCTCAGAACACTTTCCTTCTACCAATAAATGAAGGGAAAAAAAAGAAAAAAATAAGCAACAAGTGACTGAAAAGGTGTAACACTACAAGAGCAATATGGTCCAGTCGACATACAGGTTGCCCAGGCTGTTTTGTAACGTATCAAAAAAAGACAGGTCAATGTTTATACATAGCTTTAAAAACTATCTTCCATATTTAATTCTACCTCATATTTAAATATACCCCATATTAGGGAATTATTTTACTCACCTCCCTAGAGGTCCAATTGCCACAGTAAGATTTCCTCCAAGTGTAAGATTCCCTCCTTTGGCAAAAGCTTCTACTGCTCTTTCATGATTCAAGATTATCACTAAGTCTGAAACCTATAAAATATCAGATAAAAGTACTATGCTTTTTAAGAAAAAGTTAGAACAGCACGAGAGAAGTATCTTCCATTTTTCAGGAAATCAGATGGGAGTATCAAAGATATTCCCTTCCGTAAATGAAAACTAGCTCTAGATTTATCAAGGTTTTAATTCAAGTGAGAATCTCTCATTCTCTCAGAGAATTACTTCCTTTCTTGTAAAGGATTATTTTGAAACGGTTTTCATAACAAAGTCGATTCTTTTTCTGCAAGGTATTTTGAAACTAAAAATCCTTTCACCTACTTTTTTAATCAAATTTGACTGATTTTTTTCCAAGTGCTGATATAGTCAGTATGTGATAAACAACAGCTGTAACAGAAACATCTATGGCTCTGTCCAAAGAATAAACAGCAAAAAGGATATAGGTTTTTCCGTTACTGACAAAATTTTATTTTCTTGACAGAAAAATCTGGGGTTTAATACATATAAGAGGTGTGTATATATATATATGAATTAATATTTCATTTTATAAAACTTGAATATATCAGATGTAGCCAGTTTCTTTAAGAAACTACTAAACCAAGTAACTGTAGACCTGACAAAGTATTTTTGAAAGATTCAAATTGAAAATGGAAAAAAAGAATATCAATAAAAGATTTTATTTGCCTGATTGTGACAAAAAAATGCACATATCAAAAAACTTCTACTACTGTTTAAGTTGACGCCTATTACCATCAGTACCGTAAAACTCTCTTCGATGTAACAAATTTCAGTAAAAGTCTCCTAACAACTCTTCACAAACTAGGAAGCATTTTAAAGACAGCAAAGTCTTTCAAACACGAGTAAGATCCTAAAAAGATCACTCTATCTTACCTGAAAGGACAGTAAACACACTATATGTATTTAAAAAATATTGCAGGAGAACCAGCCTGTTCAACAGAGTAGATTACACTTTTGTAGCTTACTGTGATGGATTATCTTTTCAACAGATATCTTGACTACCCAAGGACTACTGTGCCTGATCTTTCATTTGATGCACTTCATTGAAAGCCAGGTCTGGAAAAAACTTTAAACTTACCCCAAATTCCAAACAGTGACAGCAGGGAATACAAGAGGAAATACCAGATTATTTGCAAAACAAGGCTGGCCCAGAAGTATTACACACAGTGTAAGAGAGGCCTTTGTTATTAGCCCCCTGATTACCTCCACCCTATCCCAAACAACAACAGCTGGCTGACATGAGTAGTTTCTCAATCATCCAGGGACAGAGAGAGAATGCCATTCAGGATGCTGCTACCTTCTCTGATCCTTTAAGAGGATGAATCCACAGCTAAAACTGAATGAATTCATAGTGAGAAAACCTTCAAGGAAACCATTTAGATGAATTTAAAAATTGGTCTTTAATTTGAGGCACCAAGTTGTTTACTGTGACTTCTGAAGTCCTGTGATTTTCTTCCTCTTGTTGAAAACCACCCATAAGTACCACTACAATTATGCCAACCATAACCTCTCCTACAGGAATGAAATTCAACCAATTTCTACAAGGTTTAAGTTTATATATGACTAAAAGAATGCTGAAATTGGACTCTGGGCTCCTAAGCCACTTAGGTATTTCTGAACAGCATCTCTTCTCTAGAAGTAAGATTGTGTTATAATAATGCCAGTAAGGAAACAGTATTTTGCAAGCTGACTAAAATTTCAAATGAAGGGCATGATATTGCTTAGACAAAAACACCCTCTCAGAAATAGCTTCTGTATTGAAATTATTTGAGTAAGTATCAATAGTAAATGGTTACATTATCTAAAATATCAGTTGGAGATGATTAAAGGAAAAGTTTCATAGATTAATAAAAGCATGTGAAGAGTCTGTTCCATTATCACAAAAAAAGCCCCAAACCAACCAAACCCAAACTCTGGGGCTCAAACTCAATGTTTTATAATGCATTCAGATCCTGTAGTCATGAAAGACAAAGAAAAACCCTTACAAAAACTAGTAATTTTGTATTCACATCATTCTTTAAAAAGTGCACAGCAATAATGCCTGAGATCACACAGTGAACAATGAGAATACAATAAAATATCGATCCATTGCTCATTATGTGAGTGCTGGCTGACTGGCTGTCAGGACAGGGATAGCTGGTTCGCTGTAGGAGACACACTGCGGGGTGGCATGGACCACCCAGATCAGCTACGCATGGATTCTTCTGAAAAGAACACCCGTAGTAAGAGATCTTGTTGGCAGCATAATGTTACTTGTATTTCTTTTGGGAATCAGCAGAACAGAAGCTAAACAGAAAGAAAAGAGAAGGACAGGACTGGAGGCTAAGGTGGGAAAGAGGAGGAAAGACGGAAACAAACAAGGGTGAAGGAGCTGTGAGGAAGAAGAGACGGGAAGCAGAGGCAGATTGCTGTCAGGGCTCAGATCAAAAGATTTCTCTGAACATGTTAGGAGTCACTTACTTAACCATTTCTGCTGGCTAGAAGCTGGCTTGCTTTCTGTAGTATTCCTTCAGAGGAGGCACCATCAGTTTTGGTGCTCCCAAACTGAAGGGTGAAGTCAGTAATCACAAGTGAGTGGGAAATGCATGAAGTACAGTAACATTAGCCAGGCTCCATTTTACTCCACATTCAACTCCTTTCACTGTTTCTTGCCAGATGGAGTCCTTGTGCTCTTTATCAAAGCATTTGACACCGTATTAAGTATATCATAGAATCATAGAATGGTTTGGGTTGGAAAGGACCTTAAAGATCACCTAGTCAACCCCCTGCCATGGGCAGGGACACCTTCCACTAGACCAGGTTGCTCAAAGCCCCATCCAGCCTGCCCTTGAACACTGCTGGGGAGGGGGCAGCCACAGCTTCTCTGGGCAACCTGTTCCAGTGCCTCACCACCCTCACAGGAAAGAATTTCTTTCTAATATCTAAACTAAATCCACCCTCTTTCAGTTTTAAACTGTTGCGCCTCACCCTATCACTACTCTCCCTGTTAAAGAGTTCCTCCCCATCTTTCCTGTAGGCCCCCTTTAAGTTCTGGAAGGCTGCTAGGAGGTCTCTTTTAATTAACTCCAATTGGCTTATATGTGAACACCAACAGGAAGCTTTCCATAAGGGAAAAATTCAGTCTGCTAGAAGTGAGTAATTGAGGAAATAGCTGTTATGTCACTTCTTTTCATTTAAATCTCTCCAAGCACCTAGACTGATAGGATCAAGATCCCTATTTTGTTTGTCTTGTATAAATTAATTTTATAATAGCTTTTTTACACAGAAAAATAGATTCTACTATCTCACTATCATTTAGATCTTGCAAAAAAAAAGTTACCAACAAGTATTTCAAATGCAAAATTATACCTCAATTCCAATTTCAAATCCACCACCAAGGCCAGCAATTCCTATTGCAGAAGGAGCAGACCAGGCTGTCATGCAAAACAAGACAAATTTACAGAATTTTTACCACATGTAACAAGAAATACTCACTAAAGTTAAGAAACGCTAACAAATTGTCTATTTAAAACTATGTTCAAAACCACTACAGTAGAATCAGATAACTATACTGGTTTACCCCACAGGAAGGAATTTAAGAAACGCCAACCCCTGTGATCTAAAAAATCTTTGTTACAAATTATTTACCATACAGTTGTCCATAATCACATATAAATAATTTTTCCAATGATTTCTAAACTACATGCTTTTATATTTCATCCTTTTCTACAAAGATATTAAAAACATTCACATCTGGTCAGAAGGAGGTAAAAAATTTTGAAAACAGCTTTCAAATCATACATTGTCACCTACTGGCTTGACTCCTCAGACATCTCCTGTTTTATGCTATGAAAAGAAATAATGAAGAAAAAAAACTTTTTTTTTTTTTTTTTTTAAATTCTCCCGTGAAGTACAAGAGGAAAATATCCACTTACTTCCATTAGGAAGACGAGCTAATACAATTCCACTTCCACCTCGAGCGGTCACCAAAAATCCAGCTTTGATAACAGACAAAACTGCAAGGCCTTTGGCTTTAGCTATTACATGAGCTGAAACGGCAAAATAATTTATTCAAGATCTTGTAAGAGAAGTTCTAAGAGAAAGGGAAAATAAAACTCTACGTTTAACAATTTTGAACACATAAACAGTCATCATCCTGCAAGCCTTATTTCAGACCTTCTGGAACACAACAGTTACAAATTCAAAGCTGCAACCAGCAACAACAGATGAAGACAGACACGAGAAACACAGAATAACAACTGCAAAAATAAAGAGGACAGCAGCGAGTAAGAGTGCTTAATCAGTATCAAAGGAGAAATGCACCCTGATCTCTTTCCTTCAACTTATTTTCATGTAGCCAAGTCTAACATATGCAGATATTCAGCAACTAGAGCTACTATTCCAGGTTCTCCCTTAAAAAAGCCATTCACAAAATGAGCATGAGACAGTCCATCCACCCCAGATGGAAGCCTTCCTGTGCAGATACTCTGTGGTTGTAAACATGCAAAAGATCTCTCCCACTAAGTAACCTCTGCCTGGAATACAGCAAACCAAACCCCTTTACTTCCAAAATGTTTCCACAAAAGTTACGGCACCCCAGATCTTCATTCCTCTCTAAGTTATGGTCACTGAAAAAACATGGAATTGGTAAAGACAGCATGATTGCAACACAGGGGAGTGCTGGAGGTTTTAGCTGAATCAAAACATTTTCTTTACTCACGAGGTATGATTTTATCAGGTCCATTTCTAGAAGTTATTTCTGTAAATTCTCGTAGTATTTTAGCTGCCTTTTTAGCTTCTGACTTCAGGTTGGAAGGTATAGGGTTATTCACTGTAAAACATGAAAGAAATAAGAAATGATACCTATGGTCAGTTCAGGATAGCTCATACGAAAATAAAACGGTGTAATTTGTATGGGAAGAGTGATTCTTTACAAATAAAAGAGCAAACTAAACAAATGGGGAAACAGCAAATATAAGAAATTATGTTCTGCATCAGAACTATATTTTGTCTCTCATGATTTTAACAGAAGACACCACTTAGGAGAGCACACAAGCCTGGTTCTTTTCCACAATCTGTTTCTCTTGTACTTCCCCAGAATTCACACTGGTAACAGCAAGGATGTTGGAGATATATCCTCAGCTGTTCCTGTCACTATTTATTTATGGACTTGTTACATATGCATTTGTCTAATACCTTTTCAAACCTGCTGATATTCCTTGCCTCCAGAATTCCTGTAGCAGTGGTTCCTTACCTGCTACTTGAAGAAATACTTGATCTATTTTAAATTAATCTACTAGTTACAGTGAATGCCTGCTAATTTAAGTCTTATGACTTCTGGTGAACAACTACTGCATTCAACTTATCCACTACCTTTATGCTTTTATAAATAGCCATAGCCCCCCAGCCTTCTCCACTTCCTCAGGAGTCCCAGCCTTCTTAGTCTCTCCTCAAGGTAGTTGCTCCATCACTCTGATCACTCCAATTGCTCTGTACCACCAACTCTGCTGTCCTTCAAATAGGCAACTGTTGACCAATGAACACTGAAAGGTTAATGTCTGTTCAGGAGATTTCTCTTACAGAGATAAACTTGCAGCATGTTCTGAAAGTGAACAAAATTTTGCTTCAGACCAAGAAAGCTCCTTTAGAAATCTACTTCCTGTTGAAGGTCTTATCAATATGTTCTCTCCCAACACGATCCAACATAAGCACCTCTATAGATTCCAACTGAGGAAAGAGCAGGGATTAGGGATAGATTATGTTTGCTTTATAAAGCTGTAGACTACAGTAGCAAACACAAAATGTCTTAAAATTTACTCCCCAAATCCATGATATCATAAATTCTACAGAAAAATGTTGATTCCACTTAGATCTACCAGATCTGTAGTCATTAATCAACTACTGAATAGCACAAAGTATTACAAGATACTAATATTCTGCAACAGTATAAATACCACATTATGTATGAACAGTAATGTTTCACCTGTAGATCTGCAAAAAGAGGCCTCAGGGTAGGTAAAAAGATATGAGTTAGTCTTGATTTTTACATCTACTAAAACCTCTCAAAGCTATCATTTAAATAATTCTTGTTTTCCTGTCTGGACATATCAACACCCACGATTTCCAAGTTTATCAGGAACAAATTGTCCCAGTAATACACTAATATATTGTCAGACCAAAGATGCATCTAGCCTCATGTCATGTCTCTGAAAAGAACTAGCGACAGCATTTCCATAAAATTCCACCGTTCTTAAATTCACAAAAGCATAGAAAAGACCGTGCATAGAGAAACAACTTTCAGTCTAAAATGGCCTAGTTTTTTAATCGGTGTTCCCTGAACATTCATTTACCTCTTCACTCCGGGCAACATTCCCACCAAAACCATGAAGGTGAGAATCAAAGAAATTTTGATATTAAATCAATGAAGCTTGGAGAACAATTCAGCTCAGATTAAGTGAAATGCTTATCAGCAAGTCAGCTAACTTTCTGTCTAGGCTCCATGGACTACAATAGGAATTACATCTCTGCTTTTCAAAGTGAAGTATATTCCTCTCTTAGTTTCTCCAAGCAAGAAGGAAGATTCCCAGAACGAGAGATTTTGACAGCCGAGTCTCTGAACTAGCTTTCCCTGAGAAAGCTTGTAGCAACATTTGGCTTTGGTGAAAAGGCAGCAAGTGTAGCACTGGAGAGTTTGAAGGGACAGCAGACATCGCAAGGCTGTGCAGAAATACCAGCGTCTCTGGGAACAGAAGGAAATAGATACATAGAATGCAACAGACTCGAAACTGCATTGCGGTAACAGGGAGAAGACATATTCATTCTACCTCCTAATCATCCCTTCTGTTTTCAGAAAGTTAAGATGATGGCCAGTTCCCTGTGCATAAAAGGATAGGGGAAAGTGAATCTCTAAGCTCCAAGAGCTCAGGACCTTCAGAATAACCCATCAGCATGTGCAATTTTCTCTGACTGTTATGGCACTACAATTGTAAGCCAGCTTGCAGGAGTTTCGAATGTGCATTTCTTCCCTGGTTCACCAGGCTGGAAGCCGGCTGCATGGTCACAGCAAGAAGAGAGGCCAGCGTAGCCCAAACAAAACACGAACAGACAATTGCTTCTGATAGATTAACAAACTGGGCTGGAGCAAATGTCTCCATTACTTCTGTTGTTTGTACTTGACATCGCTTTTTCTGGGTTAGAGGGGAAACATGACCAGCATGTTGTAAGAAAAAAATAGGAGGATTCTTGCTTTTGTATGGAGACGCACTGAGGCAGTCACAAAAAAGCATGTTGCAACAACATTCTTCTCAATGTCCTGGCTTAAGCCCACACAGCTGGCAACAAAGTACCTACACAGTGGCTTGCTCATCCCTACCACCCCCCTCAGTGGGAAGGGGAGGAGAATATATAACCAAAAGACTTGAGACAAAGGTCAGGGAGGGCTCACTCACCAGTTATGGTGATGGACAAAAGACAGACTCAACTTGGGGAAAACATCAATTTAATTTAAACAACCACCATCACCAAAGACATTGAGAAATACAACCAGGTCTTAAAAACACCTTCCCCCCACCCTTCCTGGGCTCCGCTCTGCTCCCTCTTCCCCCCCCAGCAGCGCAGGGGCAGGGAATGGGGGTTACAGACCATCTGGCACAAGGGGTCTCTGCTGCTCCTTCCCCCTCAGGGAGAGGGGCCCTCGCAGCCCTTCCCTGCCCCACCGCGGGGTCCCTCCCGGGGCTGCTGCCCTCCACGA